TTCAGAGTTCTGAGCGTGGGTTTCTGTCGGGTTGCACGCGGTGGCACTTCGGGTCGGCAGCTGGGCGCCGCGGGCGGCCGCCAACTTGGGGCGCCGTTGTGTTTGCCCTGGTGGAGGCCTGTGTTCGGAGTTCTAGAATGCATGGCGCTGCATGGCGCTGGGTAGCGCGACGATTCCGGACACTTCATGTTTCTGCCGCGCCACAAAGAGTGTCTGGTGTACCGTGTCGCAACTTCGAGCGGCACATCCGGTGCCTCAGTCAAAGTTAATTTAGTGTGCATAGTTATTGGTCTCGGTGTAAAAGCTCGGCACTTGAAACTAGCACAGTGTTGGCTGTAAAACTATACAGAGACACAAAAAATTTTGGACTCTCTGCTTGGTCTGAGTCGTATATGTACGGCTGAATGCTAATCCTAGCTTAACTTTTCTCTGTTTGCCTGTCTGTTGCAAACACAGAGCTTGGGAGCTCTTGGCTCCACCCCCTTGTTACGTTGAGCGGGAAGCTGAAACTAATTTTCATGTGAAGCAACACGCCCCTAAAACAGTAAGCTGTGTAAACGCCCACAACATAACACTTTTGAACACATTATAATAAAAACATCTAAACTGTGTTGAACTGAACCTAAACTGGCACACTCAAACAAACCATAATATTAATATTAAATCATACAAAAGGGGTAAACTATGTGCCCTTTAAGTTGAAAATAAAATAAAAAAGACAAAACAAAACACTGAGCTGGACGCAAGACAACAAAACAAGTCTAAACAACACAAGAGCAGGACAAAACAAAAAACAAAACAAAATTGCACAAAACAAAACTGAGCAGGACAAAAGACAAAAATGTTGCATGAGCTTCATGAACAAATTCATTCAAAATTTCCAACTCTCAAAATTGACATCTCTTATTCTCACCTGGCTCACACTTTAGAATAAAGTTTCATTAGTTAATGTTAATGTATTGAACACAATCAAAGTATGAACAATACTTGCAAAGCATTTAATAATCATAGTTCTACAGTTTACAAACGCACTGATAAAATCTAAAGTTGTGCTATCTCTTAACACAAACAAACAATGAATGGCTGTATTTTCATGAAATAACATTAATGAATGAACAGAATAAATAAATAACATGATGTACAGTTCATTAGTAAACACATTAACTAACTGAACCATATTGTCAAGTGTTACTTCTTTTTCTAATGTGATTATCAGTATATTTAAATGTCTCTGTCATTAAAGACTAGCAAAAAGCCACTGAAAACCATGCATTGCGCGACTGAGATTTGATTTATTGCGGCTTTCCTACTGGAGCGATGAATCAGTCTGCGCTGAAAACAATCACATTCCCTGCTGATGCAGATGGAAACAGAAGCCCAGAAACAAGCCTGAGTCTTATAAGTGACTCCATATCTCCCATAATCAAATAAAGATTAAAAAATAATAGACAAGCAAATATTAATGCCAGCTCCGCTTTAGGCAATTAGAAATGAATCATCCAGTCATTCCGATGACCGCCGAGACCAGACAGGCCCTTGTTATTTTTCACAGTCGGTTATCATTAAATGCAAGTGGGTCACTTTATGAAAATAAATTAGTCTCTCTGTTGATATTGTCTGATTCTTAAAAGATGTCTCATTTGCAAGCAACTGCCCTACAGGCATCTTTGACATTCATTATTTTCCTTAACACACATGAATGTCCTTTGTTCCTACATCAAGACATTCTACAAGGATCGCACACCATCAAAGCAGCTCACTCACTTACGACTGCTAGCTTATTCTGTTATGGTGATTTTAAGTACAACAACTTATAGATCTTTGCTGTTTAATACAACTGCTAAAACTAGCTGGAACTGTGACCTAATGGTTTGTTCTGTACCGTATGATTGAGTGGTCATGTAGGTTTCTAAAAGCTCCCTGCAATATTGTGAGTGGGCTTGACAAACCACATGTAGAAACACTCTTCCTCATATGCACCTGACACTTTATCTAAACTCCATCTTACAAGAACTCAATAAGGAAAACAATGTTTACTATATAAATGTTTACTATAATCATGTTGCGTTGATTGCTTCAAACTTAAATAGCTCATTTGCATAATATTCACCTTTAATACATCTCTTCCACAACATCCAGCACAACACAGTTCAGTCTCTTATAAAAGTATTTGTATAGCCTGTCTGATGTGTATAGTTAGGCAACCTTTATAGTATATGTTGGTTATGCATAGGTTTTTTAAAATAGCTCTTATGTCCAGTGTTGTGTTTGTGTACATAATTAATTTATGTGGCACTGTTTTCCTGTGAGACACGACATTTTATTCCTTAGTATGTCCACACATAAAATTTGCAGGTCCATAAATAAGAAAAAAAAAAGTGTCAAGAAATCTTATTTTAGCAGCCCAAAAGTTCATGAATCTTAATAAAAAAGGTCATTTACATTTTACATATTGTTGACATGCTTCTAGAATGAATTAGCATGCTGCTGCCATGATTACAACATGCTAGCTTAGCTGCTATGGTAAGTTTTAACACTGCTTTAACATCTACAAGTTTGAATTTGCATGTTGCCGTGTGCTGTGACCTGGAGGGGTGTGAGGTTTGGGGTGGTGAGTGTAGCGGAGGCCAGCTAGTGAAGTGCTGTGCAGGTAAAATCCTTACTCCTCTGACCGCTAAAGGTGCTCTAGCGACAGACGCTAGTGGCCATGGACTTTAGCCTCCTTGTTAGAGCAACCGACTCCCATGCGGAAGGTCGCTGGTTGGATCCCAGCTCGGAGCGGGTTGGGTGGAGTAGGACCGGCAGGGTTACACAAACAAGATTTAACATTTTCAACCCTAAACACTCCTAACTTGTTCAACATGACTGACATTGCCAAAATATTTAGTACATAGCTAGAATAAGTTACCATGTTGACATGTAGCATTACCACCCTGCTGAAAACAACTGCTTAAACCAGCCAAGGCTGATTGTCTGGTTTTAGCTGGTTGACCAGCCTGGTTTTAGAGGGGTTTGACCATTCCAGGCTGGTTTCCAGCCATTTCCAGCCTGGTCTTAACCGATCAGGCTAAGAGATGACAAGCTAAAACCAGCTTGACCAACATAGCCAGAATAGGAACCCACCCAAAACCTGCTATTTCCAGCTTAAACCAGGCTGGTCAAGCTGGTTTAGACTTGTCATTTTCCAGCCTGGCTTAAAATGACTGGAAACCAGCATGAAAATGGCGAAAACCCCTCTAAAACCAGGCTTGTCGACCAGCTTAAGCCGGGCTAAGCTGTTTGTTTCAACAAGGCAAGTAGCATTGCATCATGCTAAGCACATTGCTTGCATGTTTTCAGACATTTGCCAGCATGCTTGTTGCTAACATTTTTTATATACGATTATACTGTTTCTAGCAAAATGTTTTAAACATGTTAAGTAATGTTTCGATGAATAAACAGGTTGCATGTATCTAGAATAAATTAGCATTGCTAGCACATTTTAACACAGTTAGCTTGACAGCTTGTTTTAAGACATTTAATTAAATGAATAATTGCATTCATCCATTAAAGTTCATCCATTCACTGCATTAAAGTTTTAATCGACTAAAAAAAATAGAGTCAAAGGTAAACAATTATGATTATGTTGATGTTCCATCACACCCCTAATGTCTATAATATATATTTTTTGACATATTTATTGACTAAATTCATCTGTACGACAAGAAGATCTGCTTGATCAGAAATGCAAACACCTATATCAGTTACAAGGAGGGACAATCTCCAGATGTATTAAATTAATGGGGAAATGTTCAAAATGAGAAGCACAAACACACACACAAAAAGGTCACAAGAAGGACAGGGTTTGTCCACTTGGATCAATTGAAATCAAAATGCTTGCGAGCGAGAGAGTTAGAGTAATGCCTTTTATTAAAGGAACAGGGAAGAAAATTAGTGAGATGGAGCCCAATCGATGCGGAGGGAGTGAAGACTAGCAGCAGTCTTGGAAGCGATGGTGTTCATTTAACCGTAACACCAGCAGGAAATCACATGGCCGAAAGCGATAGTGAAAAGAGGGAAACAGTAAATAAATGAAAACACGTTCGTAGGACTTCTAGTACAGCCTTGTTTTCCAGATGCTTCCTGGAAAAAGTGAAGACATGGAGATGTGAACGAGACTAAAAGGAGCATGTCGAATCGATAATCTTCTACATTCCCATAGAAAAAAAAGGAAAAAGTGTCATCTAAAACCTCAGGCCCCTGATCCCCTGGGCCCGGCTTGCCAGAGCGGGAGGATTAGTGTTTTGTGTTCCTAATGACAGCAGATAATGACAGAGACGCGCCGTCTGTCACGTTAAATAACGCCCTAATCCACATTTCCCTGCATCTATTTACTGTGACTATTAATGAGCTGAGTCACGTAACAAACAACACGCCGAAAATCATTCAATAAGACCGAAGGAGAGAGAGAGTGAACAAACGGCTGCAGTGTTTGTTTGGTCTGTCCGCTTTGAATATTCAAAGTGTGATGTATAGCTGATATAACGCTGCAGTCAAGAGGAACAAATCACCTCCAGCTAAAGCTAAACTACACACGGCTAAACTCCATCAAGCGGGGTCTTAATGAAAGCGGCTGCGGACCGCGCTGCATGCTAGCCCTCGGGCAACTCTTTGTTTAATCATTATTAGTCTAAATCTTCTAGTTGACACACTGCTTTGGAAAGACTTCGAAAAACCTATACAAATTTAGAGGAAAGGGATAGAGGATAGCCGAGAGCGAGAGAGAAAGAGAGGAAAAAAACAAGTGGATTTGAGCTGCTCATGAATGTTTTATGAGTACCTAGTGCACAAATGATAAGTGACACTGACAATGGGGCCGTACCGAGAGACTGGAGGGATGCTCTTATGGATCGTGAATCAATATAGCTATTATGCTAAGATAACAGAATGAAACTTTGTTGCATATTCATTTGACACTATAAAGTGGATGAAAAACTGGATGCACGAAGTAAAGCACGCACCTCCTGAGCAGTAGTTTGGGATGGTTTTTGCTCTCTAGGTTCTTGTCGATGAGGTCGGACAGCAGGTGTTTGAGGACGTCCGTGGCGTATTCCAGTCGACCCTGTAGAGCCGTCATGATGAGCGACGCCACGTTACCGCGATCACGCATGGAGAACGAACGCTGCATTTCCAGTGTACGGATGAACGTCAGCAAAAACACCTTGTTGTTTATCAGCTGGGCGAACAGCTTCAGAGCTTTTTCCACACACAACTGCCCGTTACCAGAGACCTGGAACACACAACAACTTCACAGTCAAGATCACCATCTTTAGCCAGTGTCTACCCTATCAAAATGCTGCTTCTTTTGTAAACAGGCTAATTGTGCAACTCGTCTAGTTGAGTTTTATCAATTTTAAATACATTCAGCTGATCTTGCCGGCAGCTAGCTCTCTGCAACTCTCACATGGTCGCCCACTGAAGCTAAGTAGGGCTGCGCCCGGTCAGTACCTGGATGGGAGACCACATGGGAAAGCTAGGTTGTTGCCGGAAGTGGTGTTAGTACCAGCAGGGGGCGCCCAACCTGCGGTCTGTGTGGGTCCTTATGCCCCAGTATAGTGACGGGGACGCTATACTGCTCAGTGAGCGCCGTCTTTTGGATGAGACGTTAAACCGAGGTCCTGACTCTCTGTGGTCGTTAAAAATCCCAGGATGTCCTTCGAAAAGATTAGGGGTTTAACCCCGGCATCCTGGCCAAATCTGCCCACATGGCCTCCTAACCATCCCCATATTCCAATTGGCTTCATCACTGTCTCCTCTCCACCAATCAGCTGGTGTGTGGTGTGCGGTCTGGCGCAAAATGGCTGCCGTCACGTCATCCAGGTGGATGCTGCACACTAGTGGTGGATAAGGAGACCCCCCCCCCCCTTTATTGTGTCTAAAGCGCTTTGAGTGCCCAGAAAAGCGCTATATAAATGTAAGGAACTATTATTATTATTATCTCTGGTTAGCTTAGCTTAGCATACATAATTGAATCGGATTAGACCATTAGCAAAAATTTCAAGACCTTCAATAATTTTCCTTTATTAAAGCTAGACTCTTCTGTAGTTACATCATGTGTTAAGACTGACGAAAAATTAAATGTTACTATTTTACAATATGTCTAGTAACTATTGACCTTATTCTCAGAGTACGAGTGGGTGAAGCCATTTGAATCTTTTTGGCTCAAGACTTAATCATTCACTTTCATTCATTTTTAGACTTTAACAACAGCTTGTTATGCTGCTTGATGTTGCAAACTGATATATTCTTATTATATTATTCTGCTTTGTCAGTAAAGTCAGCCACACACTTGTTCGTAGAGCTAGTAGTTTGACCGTTTTCAGCCGTTTATTATTCCTTGTCATTCCTTCCTTATCAGAAATTCAACAATCGCAAACATGAGCGCACTTCCGCATTGAAGAATAAGGTCAATACTCGAATTCTGCTGTAATAATCAAGCAACTTTGCTAATGTGAGATGCCTGCAGCAGCCGCAATGATATGACACACAGCTTGAAAATCGACTGCTTGCACACATAGACATAGAAAGCTACAATAATATATAGAATTGGTCGCTTTGGTCTATTTCTCTGATACGTCAATGTGGCCAACATTATTTTCATCCAGTTACGAGTGTGCTATAAACAGAAGCAACTAAACAGAAGAGCTGCCACTGTCCAGTATACAAAATACAAGTCATTAGAATCTTATGGTATGAAATACAAATTAAATAAATGAAAGCTCACACCTGTCTTCTATATTTTATATTATAAAGAAAGTGTAGTGTTGAGAGGGTAGATGGCGAAGTACCTACTGATTAAGTACACTGTGTAACTATTTTAGGTACTTATATATTATATTTGCATCAAGTTAGAATAGAACCAAGTTAGAAATTAGAAACAAAATATATAATCCAGGCGGCACGGTGGCTCAGTGGTTAGCACTGTCTCCTCACAGCAAGTATGGAGCTAATAATATGCCCAAACAATCTGAATTTGAATTGTGTTGATTTAAATTATTGACAAATGTCATTTAATAAATCTTAATTTGTATGTGAAAAAAAAAATTTAGAATATGAATTTCTTAATTTGAAAATTTAAAACTCACGCAGCTCAGTGATTGGCCAAAATGCTTCGCTTGACTTTTCGGCGATTGTCTACTGTTCCCTGTTGATGCCCCATGACCTACTTTCTGCTGAATCTGAATTTCATGATCTAAATTTCTGGTTTTTAATTTAAGAATACTGAATTTGAAAATCTTGAAAGTTTGAAACTATTTTTACAAACCCAATAACTGCAGTCTATCAATTCAGAACACAAAAAATCTGAAGTTTGAAAATATGTCAGCTTTGAAAAATTCAGTTTTCTTAAATTTCAGATGTTCAATATTTAAGTTATGAAATTCAAACTCGAATTAAGAAATTCAAATTGAAAACAATTTTAACCGGATATAAACAATCAGACTTATTAAATATCAATTGCCAATTATTCAAATTAACACAATTCAAATTCAGATTGTTTTGGCATATTATCAGCTCCATAAGTATGAAGGTCGCTGGTTCGAGTCCCGGCGGTTCATTCCACTGTGACTACCCCTGATAAATAAGGGACTAATCTGAAGGAAAATGAATGAATGAAGGAAATATAAATTCCAATGAAGTAAATTATAGCCCACCTCCAGCTCTCTGAGCACAGGATGGTCCTCAATGCCGGGGAATAACACTCTCATGGCATATGTGCGATAATCCAGATAGGGAATACCAGCCCGGTCCAGATCACTCGTCAACTCGTTGATGTCTGTCTGCAGTTCTGCAAAAGCTGAAAACAAGAAGGGAGGAAAATCCCCCCAGTTATGTTAATCAATTGAAAAATCTATAAATAGGTCACATTTGAACAAAATGAAATCTTTTGTTGAAGATTAAGCTTAATTTACTTCCTTCTTATAAAGACATTTTTTAAAATTGCAATATAATAAATGTAAATATAAAGACGTAAGATGAAGGTAAACATTGCATTAATGTTGCTAATATTAAAAATATACAGTAATATTTATAATGATAACATTAGATAATATTAAGGTTGATAATATATGAGTTTTTCTTTTTTAGTTTGTGGCCACCTAAAAGCCCAGAACCGGAACTGCAGTTCTACTCAGCATCTGAGAGAGACTTGTTTTTGGTCCAGTTTGAGGTTTTTCTGAAGCTCCTGAAGGAGGTTGCAGGCAGACGAATGGAGCTAAAACTAAAAGAAGCTCTCAGCTTGTCTCTATTTATGTTTTTCTCACTCACACAAACACACACAGAGAGTAAATTGCAGTCTGCTGAAGTGCTCGTCCCCTGCTGGTGGAGACTGGAGGTGGGATGTCTTTAATTGGGTCCATTCTGACAGAGCCTGGGGCAGGACTCTTTCCTCAGGGACTCTTCTATCTCTCTTTCTCTCCTCGCGTTTGCTTATTCCTGCTTTCTGGAGCGCTCTTTTTCTATGGTCTGCCCTCACCTGTCGTCCTCTTCATCTTGGGCCGGTGTCTCTTTTCTCTCATCTTAAACTCTCTCTCTCTCTCTCTCAGGCGTTCCTGTGGTGCAGGGCTCAATCTGCCCCTTCAACACTTCTGCATCTTAAAATTCCTAGCGGCTCCAGAGTCAGTCAACACAAACCTCATCCTCTCAGCCGTGCTAAACGCGGGTCAGGGACACTCGCTCATCTGCACTGTGTGTGAAATGTGTTCTCTGTCAGCCTCAGATGATGATGTGCGGCACACAGATCTCTTACTGCAGATTTAATTGGTGCCGTCTGAATTTTAAGAATATGCTATCATGGTATCATGCTGTTTATGGCAGCAATGTCAGGATTTGTTTCACAGAGAACACACATCTGTAGTAATATCATATGCACCGTGAATTGCTTTGTGAGCGTCTAACGAATGCATGCAAATGCTTGTAGTTTGCTCATTTTATGAAAATAATATTATTAAGGACATAAATGCTCATCTCAAAGCATTTTTATATCAGAATTTAGAAATTAATTCTTATAAAATTTAATAGTATGAATAGTTATATAAATGATTACATTAAATGCTAAATATTCAAAATACTATTTACAGTATGTAAATATTGATAAACATTTTACTAATCTATGTTAATCTGAATTTATATTCGATGTATATATATAAATATATATATATATATATATATATATATATATATATATATATATATATATATATATATATATATCACACTCACTGGCCACTTTATTAAGTACACCTTTCTAGAACGAGGTTGGACCCACTTTTGCCTTCAGAACTGCCTTAATCCTTCGTGGCATAGATACTGGAAATATTCCTCAGTCTTTGGTCTATATTGACATGATAGCATCATGCAGTTGCTGCAGATTTGTCGGCTGCACATCCATGATGCAAATCTTCTGTTCCACCACATCCCAAAGGTGCTCTATTGGATAGAGTTCTGGTGACTGTGGAGGCCATCTGAGTACAGTGAACTTGCTGTCATGTTTGATTCATGCTTTATGACATGTGTGCGTTATGGGCACACTGTGGTCATAAAGGGATGGACATGGTCAGCAACAATACTCAGGTAGGCTGTGGCGTTGACACAATGCTCAATTGGTACTAATGGGCCCAAAGTGTGCCAAGAAAATATCCCCCACACCATTACACCACCACCACCAGCATGAACCATTGATATAAGGCAGGATGGATCCATGCTTTCATGTTGTTGATGCCAAATTCTGACCCTACCATCAGAACGTCCCAGCAGAAATCAAGACTCATCAGACCAGGCAATGCTTTTCCGATCATACTTTGTCCAATTTTGGAGAGCGTGTGCAAATTGTAGCCTCAGTTTCCTGTTCTTAGATGACAGTAGTCGCACCCGGTGTGTTCCTCTGCTGCTGTAGACCATCCACCTCAAGCATATCTACATGCCTAAATGCATTGTGTTGTTGCCATGTGATTGGCTGATCAGAAATTTGCATTGACGAGCAGTTGGACAGGTGTACCTAACAAAGTGGCCAGTGAGTGTTTATGTATACATATACTGTATATACATACACACACATTAGTTTACACATCAGTTTTTATCAGTATCAATAGGAACATGTACTTATTTATATTACTTAATATTAATATACATCATTCGTATATAAAATATAGCATTATTATATTAGTATAAATAGTACTGTACAAGTAGTAAGTGATGTTGTTTTATTTAACATTTCGTCATTGAGTTATTGACATATTCATATTAAATGTCAACTTATTTACATTATGAGATGTTTTTTTTTTTATAAGTTGTTCACATTTTGAAAAAACAAATGTTACACTCATAGTGTTCTCTATGGAATGCAAAAACTTTAAAGCTTATTATCTCAAAATTATTCAGAACGCAGATAGAACCTTATAATTCCAAGGTTACGGTTTGTCTAATATGATTAATATAGAATTGTATATTAAATATAAGTACTGGGTAATATTAATATTCATATATAATATTAGGATTAAATTCTACATCAGCTTACAGTAGTATTGTTAGTGATGTTATTGTTAGTAATGTTAGGATGTACAAAAAAGAGCAACGATACACTAAAATAAAGTGTGACCTTAAAAATTAAAATAAAGCTTCATACAAGAGACAAACGTCAACAAGTGTAGTAATAAAACGATTTCAGCTCCTTGCAGATAAATGCAAAGAATCAATAACGCAATGTAGTGGAAAAGCGATGTCTTTCTCACCTTCCTTGCACTCCAGCGCGACCCTGGACTCCAGGTTGTCCATCTGCATCTGAAGGCGCTTGAGCGTGAGGTCGTTCTCACGGGATTTACGCTTGTAGGCAATGAGCACAAGGATGACGATGATGAGGAGAAGGCCTCCACCGGCCGCGATGCTCACGATGGCAGGAAGAGTCAGAAGGCTGTCGGAGAGAATGTTTACTGAGCCGGGAGACACGTGCAGACCACCGACCTGCACCTGAGAGAACACACACAAACATACAGTTCAACTCAAAATTATTAGCCCTCCTGTTTTTTTTTTCTTTTCAATCCAAAATGCATTCTAATACCATCTGTATAAGATTTGTTGTATAAGCAACACATAAAAAACACACACACACACACACACACATACACAGAGGCAGATATAGATTGTGTTGAGTAAGTTTTGGGCAGTGCTAACAGTAATTGGTTTAGTGTTTCTAGGGAACCTGGTGACAGCAACAAGACTGTGGCATTGCTGAAGGTCTGGCCTGCATCTCCACCAGTGGGACAACAATAGTAAATAATGAGCCTTTAAACAGGACATTTAAAATCCACCTAAACAGCACACGTCTCTAATCTGGGCAAACAGGCACTAAAGGTCCTTTCAAGCAAGTAAAACACATAAGGCATTGTTTATTTGTAAATCTGATCATTAGTGCTGACGGTTTTCCTTTACAAAAATAAAGCTGAAGAACATTTGTTACTGCGGAAAGAGAATTTGAATATGATTAAGAGGTTGGATAAGGCGCACAAATGAATAGTGAACAAAATATTCCACAGCATTTATTATTCTGTGTTAGCATTAGTAAAAATCAAACTGCTAGAATTCATTATAGTTACTAGCAAATGCTGAAACTGGCAAATGAATAATGTAGTAGTTTTAATAGATATTTTTATAGTTTATATTCATTTCTATTTTAGTTCTAATTTAATTTAGTTCTTTATTTAAAGTTCATTTTGTTTACGATCCCTGAATTTTAAAATGCTTTTAGTAACTTAAGTATAACATACAGACAGTGAAAAGTACGTATTTTTATGTATAATATTTAATTAATGTGTTTGTTTTAAAAAAATGGATTTCCATAATTATTTACAATTATTTCCAACAAAATGTTAAAATAAATAAAATAATAATAGTATATTAATGTTATATTTATATATAATAACATAAAGAAAATAATAAAAAATAATAAACATGATAATAATTAATAATAACTCCCCCCTAACCCCACCACACGACAATCTTAAAACTTTGCGACTCTAAGTGTGCCTCACACAGGTGAGTGGGCTTGACAAACCACCTGCAGAAAACTCACTCTTTAATCCCTCTGTCATTTTAATCGACACTTGCACCAGTTTTGCTCATTTGCACTATACAACTTGTTAAAATCCCTCAATATCTCTAAAACAACAACAACAACAACAACAACATTGTACATTTAGGAGGTGTGCTTCACACAGGTGAGTGGGCTTGGCAAAACCCGTGCAGAAACACTCTTTTCTCTCAATATGAAAACACTCCGCTCTCCGAACTCTAGCACTTAATTAGCACTTCTTGCGTGTATTGCCTCTTCTAGTTGAATCGCTGAATACCTCCTCAATTGTAAGTCGCTTTGAACAAAAGTGCCTGCTAAATGACTACATGTAAATAACTGACTTTTAAATGGTAGTGTAATTTACTATATGAGATTTTATTTCCAAATAATAAAAAATAATGTATGTATTCTAAATAAATAAATGAATGTGAGCATTAGTCCCTTTCACACAGTGATACCGGTAAATATCCGGAAAATTTCCGAAACAACTTTACCGGTATATTCAAAAAAGTGCTGTTCACACAGACGAGGACGTTACGGAAATTTTCCGGAAAAGAGCATTTACACATCCATTCCAAAATACCGGTAAATTCTGACATCATTCACCAGAAATGAGCTCTAAACGGCTGCGCTTGTATTCGTAAACATTTGACTAAATTACAAACTGTGGATGATCAATATTGTGAACAACTTTCGCAGGATCACTTTCGCATGTCTAGATGTTCATAATATGTGCGTGTGCAGGCGCTCACAGGCTGTTTCACAGGCACACGCAAAGCTTGAAGTTAAACAAACAGCGGCTTATCATAAGCATCTCATCGATGATTATTTACACAGTTTGCATTAAGAAGAACATATAATCGTGATCTGACTAACTTCTAGCAGCTAAATGTGTCTGGAAAAATATTCAAAAACTTTTATTCTCATAAACCGCGCGGACGTAAATGCGTCTGACTGTTGTGATTGGCTAAAGCAGACGTCTCACGTCAGCACGTTCTAGACGTCCACGCGCTTATTACGGCAATCTTCCTTCTGCATTCACACAGCGCAGCATTCCGGCAAATTGCCGGTAATGTAACAACTTCTCTTTCCGGAAAATAGCCAGAACGAATTTACCGGTATTTTCAAAAAGGACCTGTTCACACATACACACCTTTCCGGAAAATTGCCGGCAATTTTCCAGAAAGGTCTGTATGTGTGAAAGGGGCTATAGCCTCTTCTTGTTAAATCGCTGAATGCCTGCTCAATTGTAAGTCGCTTTGGACAAAAGCGTCTGCTAAATGACTAAATGTAAATGTAAATAAACAAGAAAACTAAAAGAAAAACACTTAAAAGTCCATCTTACCATGATTTTGTACTGTCCGGTAAGATTTGGAGGTTCGCACAGCAGTTGAGACTCAGATACAGTGACAGAACAGGGAGTCTCTCCAATCAGAACAGTGTAATTGAGCTTCACTCCTCCAGCGGCTGAAGGAACCAGATTCTTACCCTGATACACACACGCACACACACAAACAGCCCAGGCGAATGAAGGTTTGTTATCTCTGAAATATCTATACTGCTGAATATATATACAGTAGTCAAAATGATTAGCCCTTCTCTGAATTTTTTTCTTCTTCAACTATTTCCTAAATTGCTTAACAGAGTAAGAAATTTAGTCAGAGTATTTCCTCTAATATTTTAACTTCTGGAGAAAGTCTTATTTGTTTTATTTAAGCAAGAATAAAAGCAGTTTTTAATAAATAAAAAAAAAACATTATAAGGTCAAAATTATTAGCCCCCTTAAGCAATATATTTTTTCAAATTTATCTACAGAACAAACCATCGTTATACAATGACTTGCCTAATTACCCTAATTGCCTAATAATTCTGACTTAATCAATTATCAATTCTGGCTTGATCAATCTAACAACAACCTTTTTCAATCAAATGTAAAGATGCCGGTACCTTTAAAATGATAGGTGAGCCAGGTTTCTGCTCCAGAACACCATTGGTGCTGAGTGGTTCAAAGAAAGGATTCGGGTAGTACATGAAGTTTGTGTTGTTGTACACTAGAAGAGCCTGGACATTGTTGAAAATAAAGCCAAACTCGTCCGCATGTTTAACTGAGTCCAATCCAGGCCTGTACTCTGCCGTCAGAGAGGGAGCGAAACAGCTCATAGTGGTGGTGTTGAGAACTTTACACACCTGCAAACATGAGAGAGAGAGACAGAAAATATGCATTATTTTCATCAGCATTTTGACAGAGTAATTGTTATTCATTGTTTCATCTCACTTCAGTTCTTTCCCATTAAGATCCCTTTGATACCATCTGTTTTCAAGTGTTTTACTGAACTGAAAAGACTGCAGATGCATTCCCCCCTTTGTTAGACAACAACGGAGATGGAGAACAAAGGAAAGACTAGCTTTTAGGATTAAAAAAATCTGAAACAAACTCAGAAAGAAAAGCAGTAAACGTGTAAATGACACTCTTCAGATTGAATCTCGCTATATCACACATTACTGTGAGATTTTGTTCTTCATGGCAGAAATGAGCTCCATGTGTTGAGCAAAATCGGCGAAGAAAAAGACAGAGGTCATTTGATTTTGCACACAGATGTACACTTTTTTTACTCTATCAATTGTCTTTAACTCCTTACACCAGGGGTTTTCAATGTCTACAATAAAAAGTCCAAATCAGAATTTTTATTAAAGTCAAAGGTCTGGAATAATTGATATTATGTAACTTGTTTTTATAAACATCCATGACATGCATCACAAGTGGCATTTGCATTCATTCATTCATTCATTTTCTTGTCGGCTTAGTCCCTTTATTAATCCGGAGTCGCCACAGTGGAATGAACCGCCAACTTATCCAGCAAGTTTTTACGCAGCGGATGCCCTTCCAGCCGCAACCCATCTCTGGGAAAGCATTTGCATTCAAAACATATTAAATACAATGCAAGTTTGGCAAAACCACTAATGAAAGTGCATTTTTGTACCAAACACAACAAAAGGTAGGCCAATAGTATCTGAATGCAGCCTTGATGACGCAAGCTGAGACTGCATATTTCAGAGATGCAATGTCAGACACAATTCACTCAATGGAGCTAGGGACATCACTGTAAGGGGTTGGATAAGGGGTGCGGTTAGGTGATCGCATTAAAAGCATTGGATGCAGCTTAGATTGCAACTGCACCAGGTCTGCATCCCTCCAGAAAAAGGTGAAAAAATACAAAAGGTGTTTAATGAAAACTTTAGGTGTTGTAGTTTTGCGTTTCTTATATCTTAACTTTGTGTATAGTGCCATTTTTAGTGACGTTTCTAATTTCCACTCTTTACAAGTTGCAAATGTCTCATTACAAATCAAGTAGAGTGGATTTATGCTGACTTTGTGGCAAAATAAACGCATACTTATCTGTCCATTCAACTTTCAACTGTCTATTCTCTTCATCAAGTTTTCTTTTCTGTGAGGCCGACATCTTCATCTATTCAAATTATCGATTTGCTGCATAGTGTTAAGGCAGGCGGGCACCAGTGATTAGCCCGCTCGAACACGCAAAGCTTCGTATGATTACTGGATGTCATGACAGCAGAGTCACGCAGGAGAACTATTTTGCCCTCAAATTTATTTTGGCCCGGGTTTTTTACATTTTGTTTTTACAGAAATACTAAAAATTTGATTTACAAGGTTTATGCATTTGTCAGTGAAGGATTCAGACCAGAGTCCGGACTTTAAGAAGCCCTGCTTTACACCAATCCTACACCTAACTCTACCCCTTACAGAGAACTTTGCACACTTTTATTTTCTCAAAAATATACAATTTTTAATTATTTTTTAAATATACATTCTACAGTTTTAGTTACTACTGTTTTTTTTTTTTATATTTCCATAGACCTTATTCTTGGCTGCTGCATGGAGGGTGCCATAGCGACCAGCATCTTCCAGTAGAATGCTTAGAACTTCCGTTTACAGTGTTTACAACTGGTAAATTTCGCTCCCAAAATAAGTTTCAAAAGCGTTTTGAGTGGATTACGGGTTGTTTTTGTGACACACAACTTTGAAAGGTGCGCGTTAAAATGTTAATCTGTCAGATGTGGTTAAAGCGCAAGAAAAAAACGTTCTCCTAGTTCACGTGTCTGACTGATTTTGCATTTTAAGAAAAAGGTCTATAGATTTTAAAAAAAATTGTCCACAAAGAGGCTGCATGGTGGCGCAGTGGGTAGCACGATCGTCTTACAGAAGAAGGTCGCTGGTTTGAGCCTTGGCTGGGTCAGTTGCCGATTCTGTGTGGAGTTTGCATGTTCTCCCCGTGTTTGTGTGGGCTTCCTCCGGGTGCTCTGGTTTCCCCCACAGTCTATAGACATGTATAGGTGAATTGAATAAGCTAAATTGTCTGTAGTGTATGTGTGTAAATGAGTGTGTATGGGTGTTTCCCAGTAATGGTAAAACATATGCTGGATAAGTTGGTGGTTCATTCCACTGTGGTGACCCCAGATTAATAACGGGACTAAGCTGAAAAGAAAATGAATGAATGTTCACAAAGATGTAATAATTTGTATTATGTTAAATTGCATGGAATTAAGAAAAGAAATAAAAGTTAGAGATAAAGTTAGAGAAAAAGCTTTTTTCAGTTAACACTTATTTATAACTTAGTTTTTAACATTTTTGCTTTAAAACTATAATTACTTTGCCAATTTGTAACTGCTGCATAGTGAAATTACTTTCATGACAATTAAGCCAATTTTCCCATTTTTATTAAAATGGCGAAGTACATGACAGAGGTGATTATAATTAACAGTACTTTTTAATTTTAAATAAAAAATAACAACAAAAGATGCTGCAGTACAATAATGAGAAACTAATGAAAAACAAAACAAAACAATAAAGGTATCTCCAGGCAGCAATAACCAGGCCAAGAGCCGCATAAGCAAAATGAAAATGCAGAAAAGCAGAGAACATCAGACAAACCAAGTTTAGACGACAATAAACTCTTTCGATTAGGGCATAATTGGTATTAAAATTTATTATTGTTTATATGTATTATTTAAGGAATGTCATCAGCTGTGTAAAAAAACATAAGGATAAGTTGATTCATTCAGCGTTGGCGACCCCAGATTAATAAAGAGAAAAAGCCAAAAAGAAAATCAATGAATGTATAAATCTTAGGAATTTATCAAGACTAAGTTATCAGTAATGGTAAAACCGTTGAAAACATGTTGGGACATTTTTAATAATTGCAAATGTGGCCCTGCCCAAAACTTTCAATCTCTTCCGTTTCTTTATTTGTTTTTAAAATAAGGATGACCACAGAAAATGTCACAAGTTTGATTTGTTTTTATCCTAACCATCCATGATGGTGATGCACAAAGTTTTTTATTTCCGCAACATGTGGCTGAACAACATAAACTACTATGCTTATCGCCTCAGGAGCTGATTATGTGCTTTATTCAATATTAAATACTACCAATGTGAGTTTGAATGCCATTTTTAATGAAATTTACAGCCTTACTACTGAAAGCAGATAGTTTAAACCAGTGTTGCACATAATTTTTCGTATGAAGGACCAAAAACCAAATATCATTGAGAGCTGTGGGCCGAAGGTAAATATACCAAACTATATTACATTAAAGTTGCATTATGTAATTTCCAATTTTATGTTCATAATATTTAAAAATAAATTGAAAACGTTACTTTTAATCGTATCAACTAATGTAGTATACATTTTTAAATGATAACATATTACAATAAAAACATAAACAACCACATTTGTAACAAAGTGGAGCTCAATGCTGAATACAAGCAGAATCTGCCTTTGCCTTAATTTGCTCACTGATGTCTCTGCATTACTTCTATCCATTGGGTGACAGAATGTACATTTACGAAAACAAATCTGAATCTAAATTTGAAACATTTCATTTCAGTTAGATCTTTATAGCTTAGCAATAAAACAAAGTAAATGTTACATTAAATTAGAAATAACAGTCTCTTAACCATCCCCATCATTCTCCTTCTCTTCTGAAATCAAATCAAAGGTTAGCCTGGGCCAACTTTGGCCCGTGGGCCCTAGTTTGAGCATCTCTGGTTTAACTGGATAGTTTAGATAGACCAGCAAATAGTTTACCTCAGATCTTTAAAAAAAAACAAAAACAACAAGCAAATAATTTTAAAATAAAAATGACTCAGTGAAAACCAACAGCATTCTGTACGTCACCAAAGACAATAGAATACACAAGACATGTCACTCGTATAGTTTTGAATAGGGAAAAGTGTAGCGGTCAATATGGCCGCTTTAGCAAAGGAAGCCCCACCTACTAGCAAAGGAGCCAATCATTGATCACTAAAGACTACGTTTTTAGAAGGAGGGGCTCAGACCAGATGTGTGTTACGACTCTGTTCTGTTGCCGTGTGCATACACAGCTTCAGCAGCCTGAGAAAAAATATATATATTTTCTGTGATTTAAGAAACTAAATTTAAGAGACTATTGTTGTTCAATTTTATTGGTGATTCCAGATCTGAAATGTAATCGTAAGCTTGGCACACATTTTTGGAGAATTTAACTTTCTCCATTCAGAAAGAAAGCCTGAGCATAAGGCCCGAGAGGCGTTTCAAAGATGGCTGCCGAGTGAAATGACTTGCCCTAAAGGGAATTTGATGTCACTCAGTAGGCAATTAATAATGAAGAGGTCTAATATGTATTTATTAAATTATAAACCCTACTATGCCACTGAAAGTGCAGTTCGCTATTCTGCGCTTCTGAATGGCTGATATTTAAATGCTTCTGTTGTGTTTCATCGCGTTTAATGTGGACAGCCATTTTCCTTGTTGCTGGAATCTTGTATTGTCACGTGTAGTTAGGACACAGTGTTAGGCCTCAGATCTAGTGTTTTCACATTGCTAAGCTGAACTGGTGCAAACTTTAGCACTTCTTCAACAACTGCATAAACATCAGCAGTCACACATGACGGACACACGGGCAGCGAGTAGAGAACAGCAGCGACGCTCCAACAACAGAATTGATTGCTGTGAAACTCTGACTGTGCCGGGAGGTTTTCATCTCATTTCTTTCTTCTCTCTGACTCTCAGGGGAGAAACTTAATTAGAGCTAAATATCTTCAAAGCACGGCAGGAGCGGCGAGCAGCACACCTCCTACTCGCAGCCAGAGCCGCAATCGATACTAACTCATTCTGACCACACAAACTTGA